TATATATATACACACACACACTTGATATATATAAACTAATGTGTAGTGCGGTCTTTAAAGCCAAACAATTCAACTCCACTATTAATCTTTTTAAATTAAATAGCTCCATTTCATAAATTTGTCCAATGCTAGTTCCTTTTTCTATGCTTTCAAAGGTGTTATTCCTAAAAGGCAGTGGCCACACAGATCAAATCATCTGTATAGCACACCTAGAAGAATGCAATGCCAGATTTATAAAGTTTTTAGATGATACCATTAGATGTAATCCCTAAGAAGGGGAGGAAAACTATAAATTCATTTGGCTATTTTAAGTAAGTCTCAAACATTCACTTGAATGAGTATTCTTTCTCTTTTTTTGAAACAGAGTCTTAGTCTGTTACCCAGGCTGGAGCGCCATGGTGTGATCTCAGCTCACCGCAACCTCCGCCTACTGGGTTCAAGCAATTCTTCTGCCCCAGCCTCCCAGGTAGCTGGGACTACAGGTGCTCACCACCACGCCTGGCTAATTTTTGTATTATTAGTAGAGGCGGGGTCTCACCATATTGGCCAGGCTGTTCTTGAACTCCTGACCTCATGATCTGCCTGCCTCGGCCTCCCAAAGTGCTAGGATTACAGGTGTGAGCCACTGTGCCCGGTCTTTTTTTTTTTTTTTAAGACAGTTTTGCTCTTGTTGCCCAGGCTGGAGTATAATGGCGAGATCTTGGCTCACTGCAACCTCCGCCTCCCGGGTTCAAGTGATTCTCCTATGTCAGCCTCCTGAGTAGCTAGGATTACAGGTGCATGCCAGCACGCCTGGCTAATTTTTGTATTTTTAGTAGGGACGGGGTTTCATCATATTGGTCAGGTTGGTCTCGAACTCCTGACCTCATGTGATCCGTAAGCCTCGGCCTCACAAAGTGCTGGGATTACAGGCATGAGCCGCTGCATCTGGTCAATGAGTATTCTTTCATTGAAAGGAAGGAAGAAGAGGAAAGAAGAGGAAGGGAAGGAGATAAGGTGAGAGGAGAAGAGGAAGGAAGGAAGGAAGGAAGAAAGAAGGAAAGAAGGAAGGAGGGAGAAAGGGAATGTGAAAAAAAAAGAAAAGGAAAAAGTGTTTACAAATAGTTCATTGCTTCTAATTCCTTATGGGGTCAACTCAGTAAACATCCTAAGTGTAGCTTGTCTCAAACACTCAGATGGTGCACAAGGAAAATGTTGACTGCTAAAGCAATCAGAGACCAAATAAAACACAGTTAGATAAGCTATTATTGGCAATTAATTAAACTGCACTCAGATGAAAACCTAGAGTACGCTAAAAAAAGAAATTCCTAATTTGCATCCTTCTGCTAATAATGTTTCTAAACACTAGATGGCAATGAACTAAAGGTTTAAATGAAAGTAAAAAGATTCTTACATAAAAGTTGAGTTATGTACTATAGGTAGAGAAAGAAGATATAACTGCTTCACTTCAAAACATACCAACTTTTGACAGTAGTTTTTACCTGGGAAGAGGTCTGTACATCTCATAAATATCTCCCAATAGATTAGTCCAAGAGCATACATGTCTACTTGTTTCAAAGCTGATTCACAGTCCCTCAAGTTCACAGCTCCTTCTAGCACTTCTGGTGCCATGTATCTGATAGTGCCAACCTGATAAATTAGAGTGATATTTTTTAGAGAGAGAATGTAGCATATTCTGAAGCACAGACATTAGACCAGAAGTTGTATGTACATCTTAGTCATGTCAATGTTATTTGACCCTAACCATGTCATTAAACCTTTCTATAACTTATTTTTTACCTATAAAATGCCCTTCCTGAATAATTAAACTGTGGTAAATCCATTTTAGTGAATACTATTAATCAATCAAAAAGAATGAGCTAGACTTTCTTATGCATATCAACATAAATAATCTGTAAGACACAGTGAAAAAATTGCAAAACAATATGTATACAACTTAAATTTTTTTTAACTTAATATTTTTTAAAATTCACAAAAATACAGCTCAGTGGCTGGGTGCGGTGGCTCATGCCTGTAATCTTAGCACTTTGGGAGGCCAAGACAGGCCGATCACGAGGTCAGGAGATAGAGACCATCTGGCTAACATGGTAAAACCCTGTCTCTACTAAAAAAATATAAAAAATTAGCCAGGCGTGGTGGTGGGCGCCTGTAGTCCCAGCTACTGGGGAGGCTGAGGCAGGAGAATGGTGTGAACCCGGGAGGCGGAGCTTGCAGTGACGCACCACTGCACTCTAGCCTGAGAGACAGAGAGAGACTCCGTCTCAAAAAAAAAAAAAAAAAAAAAAAATACAGCTGGGTGTGGTGGCTCACACCCATAATTGCAGCACTTTGGGAGGCCGAGGAGGGTGGATCACCTGAGGTCAGGAGTTCAAGACCACCCTGACTAACATGGAGAAACCCTGTAGCCACTAAAATACAAAAAAATTAGCCGGGCATGGTGGTACATGCCTGTAATCCCAGCTACTCAGGAGGCTGAGGCAGGAGAATTGCTTCAACCTGGGAGGCAGAGGTTGCGGTGGGCTGAGATGGCACCATTGCACTCCAGCCTGGGCAACAAAAGTGAAACTCCATCTTAAAATAAATAAATAAAATCACAAAAAAATATATATGTTGTGTACAGACAAGTATATATGAATGCAGAGAACAAAGTTGGGAAGGATATGCTCCACATTGTAATGGTGATTATCAGAAGGTGGACTGTTATCTTCAACTTGGTAACTTTACCCTTGCCTCAAAAATCAGTTTCTACAAATTTGTTCCTAACGCTTGTAAAAATGACTTGGAATGGCATTGAGTTCCAAAATAAACTAATGAAATTTACAAAGGCCTTTATGAGATGTCTTTTATATATCCTAATTTTGTAATTCCTAGTATTCTATAACTGGCAGTATATGAGGATAATTGTCCTGAGTCTCACTCTGTCACCCAGGATGGAGTGCAGTGGCACAATCTCAGCTCACTGCAACCTCCACCTCCTAGGTTCAAGCGATTCTCTTGCCTCAGCCTCCTGGGTAGCTGGGATTACAGGTGCGTGCCACTGCATCCGATTAATTTTTGTATTTTTAGTAGAGACAGGGTTTCACCATGTTGGCCAGGCTGGTCTCGAACTCCTGACCTCAGGTGATCCACCCACCTGGGCCTACCAAGTGCTGGGATTACAGGCATTAGCCACCACGCCCAGCCAGTAGATGTTTGAATTAAATTCATTATCATTTCAAAGCACATCAGTGTGATACCTTTTGTATGCACTCACCTCGCTTATGGCTGCATTATCTTCCTCCCCTGGGCGCACCAGTCTATTTCCAGTCAGCCTCATGGACAATCCAAAGTCACTAATAACACAGGTTCCATCATTTTTCACTAGGACATTTCTGCTGTTTAAATCTCGATGGGAAATTGCAGGTTTATAATGATCTGTTTGGATAATTTCAAATATTTATCAATGAGTAAAAGGGACTACTGAACATGAAATGAACACACATAAATATAGAAGTAGTGTTATTTTTCTGTTCATTAATTTTCTAATAACAAAAAAAAGACAAATCAAAATTTCAACTCACACTCATCACTATTCTCTAATATATTTTATAATATAACTCCTGTTGCATGTATAGTTAATTAAACATTTAAACTAACAAACATGATGCCGCTTCAGATTCTAACACGCACTTTTTTTTTTTCTTCATTTATGGTATAGGGCTGTAAAAGGAGGCAATATAGAAAGGAATATTTGGTATAAACACCAAAAAAGAAAAAAAGTCTGCTTGTCTAAAATAAGTATCAGTGAAAAACTAATGGAGCTCCAAAATTTTAATGTAAATCTTAAACTGCTCTCCTGTGGCTTAACAGATCAAATCTGTGACAGCACATTCCAATTCTGCCCTGAGGTTGAGCCATATCTCTAAGCCCATCTCAGCTTTTCAAATCTAACCAGAAATAGTTTTACAATGGTTTGGAGAAACAAGTGAAGGAAGTGGTATCTCTCACCAAGATACGAAAACTTGTTTTTCTGATTTTATAGAAGCAAAGTAGTGTTATGTTCCTTCTATTGCTTTTTTATCCTTATCATAGGACTACAGGTTCCATGAAGGCGGAAAGAGAACATCTTTTACCTGACTTTAAAAGGTTTGGCACAGAGTAGACCCAAAGTAAATGCTTGCTGACTGAAAGAATGAATCTAACCTAAGCCTCTCACCAAATATAATTACATTATATTTTTCTTTTATGTAGGGAAATCTTATATAAACGTTATATTAAATAAAACCATAGCTCTGGAACTGAAAAAAAATTCTATAGCACAATTTCTGAAATTTAAAATATCTGCCTAGGTATAGAGAAAAACAGAGCAATAAGAACAAAGTCAATACATTTACTGAGGATTTGTATTTTGGCACAAATAGACTCAGTATTGAGATGTATTACTCTCATTAATGAGCATTCAAATGCAATTTCACCAATAATGCAACTATAAATAATAATAATCCTTGATATAAAAAAATTAAGCACCAGTACAATTTGAAGAAAAAATAGGAATTACCAAGTTTCTTCACCTCAGAGTTGATTTCTTTCTCATTTCCTCCCTTACCCACTTCCTATTCTCCAGTCTTCCAAAGCTTGTATTAACTTGGCTCCTACTTAGTTTCTGCAAGAGCTGCATTTCTTACTCTGGATAAAGCCACAACATAAGTATATGTCGTACAATCTTGAACTAATATTTATATAGGAAAACTCATGGAAACACTGGAATATATTTATATAATAATACCAAATCAATGGGTAGAACTATAGACTGCCCTTTTGAGACAGGTTTTCCCTTTCAAACTTCCCTCTGTACTCATTTTAATTTTCTTTATTTGGGTGTGGAAGGAGGGTGGAACATACAATAATTCTGCCCTGGGCAGAATACTGCAGTAGGCAAATATCTCAAAGGAAAGCACAACAAGATATTAGTTATATATATATTTTTAAAACCCGAACAAAAATAGTCAATCTATGGATATTTACACACACATATTGCCAGTGCTATCCCACCTGCCCTCCCAACGACATGAAAACTATATACAAACTACTTAACAGTAATTTTCTGGTGAAGTCTGAGTTGTCTGTATCTATTTTCTGGTCAGCTATTTCGTTGGTAATAAGCATGCGTTGCTATTATAATATGGAAAAAATTCATAGGGAGATCTTATTACAAAGAAATAAATAGGTTCAATTCTTCCTTATTCTGAAGCAACAAACAGCTGAATAAGTAATAACAGTGTAATTCCTTACTACCAAATTTCTACCCTAAATAACAAAGTTATATCTGAAGATGCTGGGAAGGACAGAATTCAGTGAAAGAGCACTTCAAGTAAAAATATTATAGTATAGGCATACAGATGATCTTTCACTTACAGATGGTTTGATTTATGATTTCTCAACTTTACATTGGTGTGAAAGCAGTAAACAATCAGTAGAAACCATACTTCATTCCTTTTTTTCACTTTCAGAACAGTATTCAATAAATCACATGAGATATTCAATCTATTATAAAGTAGACTTTGTACTGGATGATTTGGCCAACTGTAGGCTAATTAAGTGTTCTGAGTATATTTAAGATAGTTTAGGCTAAGTTATGATGTTCAGTAGGTTAAATGTATTAAATGCATTTTCAACTTACAATATTTCTAACTCATGATCTTTTTTATTTTTTCTTTCATTTTTTTAAAACAGGGTCTCGCTCTGTTGCTCAGGCTGGAGTACAGTGGCAAGATCTTGGCTCACTGCAGCCTCCTGGGCTCAGGCAATCCTCCTACCTCAGCCTCCTAAATAGCTGGGACTACAGGTGCATGCCACCACAGCCAGCTAATTTTTTTATTTTTGTAGAGACGGGGTCTCACTATGTTGCCAAGGCTGGTCTCAAACTTCTGAGCTCAGGAGTTTGATTCTCCCGCCTCAGCCTCCTAAAGTGCTTGGGATTACAGAGATGAACTACCATGCCCAGCCAATTTATAATCAGTTCATTGGGATGTAATCCCATTGTAAGTCAAGAAACATCTGTACTTGGGAATTTTATTTATTTATTTATGAGATGGAGTCTCGCTCCATCGCCCAGGCTGGAGTGTGGTGGCGGCAATCTCAGCTCACTGCAACCTCTGCCTTCCGGGTTCAAGCGATTCTCCTGCCTCAGCCTCCCGAGTAGCTGGAACTACAGGCATGTGCCACCATGCCCAGTTAATTTTTTTGTATTTTTAGTAGAGGCGGGGTTTGACCATGTTGGCCAGAATGGTCTCGATTTCTTGACCTCATGATCCACCCACCTCGGCCTCCCAAAGTGCTGGGATTACAGGTGTGAGCAACGGCGCCTGGCCAGGGAGTATCTTTTAAATAATCAGGTAAAAAACATAAATTCTGGGTGGGCGCAGTGGCTCACGCCTGTAATCCCAGCTCTTTTGGAGGCTGAGGCAGATGGATCACCTAGGGTCAGAAGTTTGAGACCACCCTGGCCAACATGGTGAAACCTTGTCTCTACTAAAAATACAAAAAATTAGCCCAGCATGATGGTGGGTGTCTGTAATCCCAGCTACTTTGGAGGCTGAGGCAGGAGAATCGCTTGAACCCAGGAGGCGGAAGTTGCAGTGAGCTGAGATTATGCCATTACACTACAGCCTGGACAACAGAGTGAGACTCTGTCTCAAAAAAAAACCCAAAAAACCCATAAATTCAAATAGCTACTATATTTACATGCAATAGCAGCATCTATGTATTCAGTTTTTAAAAAGGTGACTATTACCCTTATTTAGTGGTAACATTAGCTAATGTTTCAGAGTAACTGTTCTGTTTAAATAAAACTTAGGCCGGGCGCGGTGGCTCAAGCCTGTAATCCCAGCACTTTGGGAGGCCGAGACAGGCGGATCACGAGGTCGGGAGATCAAGACCATCCTGGCTAACACTGTGAAACCCCGTATCTACTAAAAAAATACAAAAAACTAGCCGGGCGAGGTGGCAGGTGCCTGTAGTCCCAGCTACTCGGGAGGCTGAGGCAGGAGAATGGCGTAAACTCGGGCGGCGGAGCTTGCAGTGAGCTGAGATCCGGCCACTGCACTCCAACTTGGGCGACAGAGCGAGACTCCGTCTCAAACAAAAAAAAAAAAAAAAAAAAAAAGAAAATAAATAAATAAATAAAACTTATATCTGATGGCAATCATTCTTTTCAGCCTACATTTGACTTGAAACCTTGCTAAATTATGCAAGTCTTGAAAAGGATGGTATTTTAAGTTCTGTGCTAAGCCAACGTTTTAAAGGCAGTATAATATTTAAGAGCTAAGTGGACACAGTCCAGTGGTTAATGTGCTAAAGCACTACAGTAAGTGCATCAAGTTGCTGACACAGGCAATACTTTGGACAATTCTGTATTTAGGAGAAGCAAGATGTCAAGATAAATGAACTGATAAATTATTCAGGATAAATTGTTTATACATGAAGTATCAGCTAGAAAAGATGATCCATGCTAATATACAATGGAACAAAGATCTAAGAAACTGATATATTAAAGTTCTCTTCACTAAAGATGTCAGAGAGATTGAAAAAATAATGTCAAGGCTATAATATGACAAGAAAATGCAGCAAGGGATGAGGGTAGAAGAAAGCACAAAGACAGAATTATAGCAAAGTTAACTTAGGGGTGTCTATGAGGTGAGGTGTATATTGAAACAAACTGAGAAAGCAAATGTATTAAAGAGATGCTCCAAGCTGGGCGTGGTGGCTCACACCTGTAATCCCAGCACTTTGGGAGGCTAAGGCGGGCAGATCACCTGAGGTCGGGAGTTCAAGATCAGCTTGACCAACATGGAGAAACCCCATCTCCACTAAAAATACAAAATTAGCCGGGCGTAATGGCGCATGCCTGTAATCCCAGCTACTCGGGAGGCTGAGGCAGGAGAATTGCTTGAACCCGGGAGGCGAAGGTTGCAGGGAGCTGAGATAGTACCACTGCACTTCAGCCTGAGCAGCAAGAGCTAAACTCTGTCTCAAAAAAAAAAAGATGCTCTGAACAACTAGCAAAAATATGCATGAAAGGTGAGGAAGATCACAGTTATGACAAGGAATATAACTACATAGCTCTGAAACACGAGCAAAGACTAAACCCCACAACGTATTCTTCTCTTCCTACCTAGTAACAGAACCCAATATTATTTGAGGCAGCAATGCAAGCAGGAAACAACAACAACAACAACAACTATATTCCCAGGCTCTTTTGGAACTAAGTGTGGACTAGGTTCTGGGAAACAAACAAGCATAGGAGTGGGACTTCTGGAGACAGAAAGGGACAATTCCTTTTACCTTCCCTTACTTTTCCCTGCTGACTGGCATGATGGACAATGAGGTGACTTTGAAACGAAAGCCAGCCAGGCACGGTGGCTCATGTCGGTAATCCCAGCACTTTGGGAGGTGGAGGTAGGCGGATCACCTAAGGTCAGGAGATCGAGACCATCTTGGCCAACATGGTGAAACCCCATCTCTACTAAAATTACAAAAATTAGCTGGGCGCATGCCTGTAATACTTGGGAGGATGAGGCAGGAAAATTGCTTGAACCAGGGAGGCAGAGGTTGCCGTGAGCTGAGATTGTGCCATTGCACTCTAGCCTGGGGAACAGAGCGAGACTCCACCCAAAAAAACAAACAAACAACAACAACAACAACAACAAACTCATGTACCTCATAATATACACTACTATGTATGCACAAAAATTAAAAATTAAAAACAATTAATGATACACTGTAGTTCACTTAAACAAAATAAATACAAGGAAAATATAGCCTAGCTAAGAGGTTCTTAACCTAAGGTCCATAAATGGGCTTTAAAAAGTCTGAAAATGCCCTAGAATCAAAAGAACATTTTTTTCTTTTATTTATTTACTTATTTTTCTTTTTTGAGATGGAGTTTCGCTCTTGTTTATTCTCCTGCCTCAGCCTCCCGAGCAGCTGGGATTACAGGCACCTGCCACCATGCCCGGCCAATTTTTTTTTGTATTTTTAGTAGAGATGGGGTTTCACCATGTTGGCCAGACTGTTCTCCAACTCCTGACCTCAGGTGATCCACCCGCCTTGGCTTCCCAAAGTGTTGGGATTACAGGCGTGACCCACTGTGCCTATCCTTATTTATTTTTCAGACATAGTCTTGCTCTGTTGCCCAGGCTGGAGTGCAGTGGCAAGATATTGGCTCACTGTAACTTCCGCCTCCCAGGCTCAAACAATCTTCTCACCTTACCCTCCTGAGGTGCGCACTACTATGCCTGGCTAAATTTTTTATACTTTTTGTAGAGACAGGGTTTCACCACATTGGTCTTCAACTCTTGGGCTCTCTGCCTGTCTCAGCCTCCCAAAGTGTTGGGATTTCAGGTGTGAGCCATGGTACCTGGTCTCTCTTATTTTAAACTCAGGGGTACATGTGCAAGTTTGTTATCTGGGTTTATAGTAGGATGCTGAGGTTTGAGGTACAAATGATCCTGTTACTCAGTTAATGATCATAGTACCCAACAGTTAGTTTTTTAGCCCTCACCCTTCTCCCTCTCTCCCCACTCCAGTAGTCCCTAGTTTCTACTGCTGTCATCTTCATGTCCATGAGTACCCGATGTTTACGTCCCACTTATAAAGTGAGAAAATGTGGTATTTGGTTTTCTGTTCCTGCTTAGCATAACCTACTCCGGCTCCATCCATGTTGCTGCAAAGGACATGATTTCATTCTTTTTTATGGCTGTGTAGTATTCGATGGTGTATGTGTAACACATTTTCTTTTTCTTTTTGAGATGGAATTTCACTCTTGTTGCCCAGGCTGGAGTGCAATGGCACAATCTCAGCTCACCGCAACCTCCGCCTCCCGGGTTCAAGAAATTCTCCTGCCTCAGCCTCCCGAGTAGCTGAGATTACAGGCATGCACCACCACGCCCAGCTAATTTTGTATTCTTAGTAGAGATGGGGTTTCTCCATGTTGGCTCAGGCTGGTCTTGAACTCCTGACCTCGGGTGATCCGCCCACCTCAGCCTCCCAAAGTGCTGGGATTACAGGCGTGATCCACCGCGCCTGGCCATGTAACACATTTTGTATATCCAGTCCACTGCTGATGGGCAACTAGGTTGATTCCATATCTTTGCTATTGTGGATAGTGCTGTAAAAAACAGAAGACCTCTGTCTTTCTGGTAGAATTATTTGTTTCTTTTTGGATATATACCCAGTAATAGGATTGATGGGTCAAATGGTAGTTCTGTTTAAAGTTATTTGAGAAATCTCCAAACTACTTTCCACAGTGGCTGAACTAATTTATACTCCCACCAATAACGTATAAGTGTTCCCCTTTCTCCACAGTCTCAACAGCATCCGTTGTTTTTTGACTTTTCATTAACAGCCATTCTAACTGGTGTAAGATTGTATTATCATTGCGGTTTTGATTTGCATTTCTCTGATGATTAGTGATATGGAGCATTTTTTCATATATTTGTTGGCCGCTTATATGTTGTCTTCTGGCAAGTGTCTATTGATGTCATTTGCCCACTTTTCAATGTGGCTGTTTTTTGCTTGTTCAATTGTTTAAGTTCCTTATACATTCTGGATATTAGACCTTTGTTGGATGTGCGGTTTGCAAATTTTTCTCTCATTTGTAGGTTGTTTACTCCGTGGATAGTTTCTTTTGAAAAGAACATTTTCTAAGTATGCTCGCATTTATATGTTGGAGGAAGAATGTTCAGAGTATGAACAGGAATTCATTTTTCTTTTATTTTGAGACAGTGTCTCACTCTGTCACCAGGCTGAAGTGCAGTGGCATGATCATAGCTCACTGCAATCTAGAATTCCTGGGCTCCAGCGATCCTCCCACCTCAGCCTCCTGAGAAGCTGGGACCACAGGTGTGTTCCACCACCTCCAGCTGATTAAAAATTCTTTTTGTAGAGATGGGGGTCTGACTATGTTGTCTAGGCTGGTTTTGAACTCTTGGGCTCAAGCAATCCTTCTGCCTAGGCCTCCCAAAGTGTTGGGATTATAGATATGAGTCACTGCACCCAACTCAGAAATTATTGATGGACAAGAATTAATTTTTTTTTTTTTTTGAGAGGGAGTCTCGCTCTGTCACCCAGGCTGGAGTGCAGTGACGTGATCTCAGCTCACTGCAACCTTTGCCTCCCAGGTTCAAACGATTCTCCTGCCTCAGCCTCCTCAGTAGCTGGGAATACAGGAGCGCGCCACCACGCCTGCCTAATTTTTGTACTTTTAGTAGAGACGGGGTTTCACCATGTTGGTCAAGTTGGTCTCAAACTCCTGACCTCATGATCTGCCCGCCTCAGCCTCCCAAAGTTTTCGTATTACAAGCATGAGCCACCATGCCCGGCCAAGAATTAAATTCTTAATGGCCCCTATAAGTCTTGAAGTTCTTTTTCTTTCATTTTTTTTGTTTTTTGAGACAGGATCTCACTCTGTCACTCAGGCTGGAGTGCAGTGGGATGAACACAGCTCACTACAACCTAGACCTCCTGGACTCAAAGCAATCCTCCCACCTCAGCCACCTAAGTAGCTCAGATTATGTGCGTATGCCACCACATCTGGCTAACTTTTCTACATTTTGTAGAGAAAAGGTCTCACTATGTTGCCCATGCTGGTCTCAAACTCCTGTGCTCAAGTGATCCCTGAGATCACTTGAATGCTCCAAGTGTTGGGATTACAGCCATCAGTCACCATGCCAGCCAAAGTTCTTTCTCTTATTCTTCCTGTTATATTTCTTTTCTTTTTTTCTTTAAAATTATTTGTTTCTCATCACAAAGTATAGGGAATGGAATACAATGCCTGTAATCCCTTGGGTGCATATATTCCTAGCCTATACATCCATAAATACCCTGTACAACAGCAGGCTCATACTGTTCCTAGAAGCATTTTCTCACATCCTAACAGCTGCAGAGTACAGTATATGATGAGGTAGGAAGTATAAACAGATTCCCCATTCACAAGGTAGGGCACCTCTTTAATTAGTGTTCCTATACACATTTGCTATTTTTTTGTTTTGTTTTGTTCTTGTTTATTCTGAGACAGAGTCTAGCTGTCAGCCAGGCTAGAATACAGTGGTGTGATTTCAGCTAACTAGAACCTTCACCTCCCAAGCTCAAACAATCCTCCCAGTTCAGTCTCCCAAGTAGCTGGGACTACAGGTGCATGCCACTATGTCCAGCTAATGTTTGCATTTTTTGTAAAGACAGGGTTTCACCATGTTACCTGGGCTGGTCTCAACCTCCTGAGCTCAAGCGATCCACCTGCCTTGGTCTCCCAAAGTGTTAGGGTTACAGGCATGAATCATCGCGCCTGGGCTGCTAACATTCCAACTGAAGTAGCTGGTTGTTTTTACTAATGATTTGATGAAACTCTCTTGCAAACAAGTACATCATAGACAAATTATGTCTGCACAACTCTTAGAGTTGTTTAAAGTAACCTAATAGAAAGACAGTGACTAAGATTCATTTCTTATCTCCAGCTTTGTAAGTCCCAGGCTGCCTATGGCACCTGGACTGTTGCCCCTGGGTCCCCTACATCCCCATGGCAACAATGGAAGAAGGGCAGGCCAGGACAAGCATGAGGAATAAACAGTCTTTACTGGACTCACACTAGGAGTCTGTGGGCCTTGAGCACCTTCATGTATTTGTCAATGTTCTTTTCAGCCTTTTCCCATAGCCTCATGAGCTGCTTTTCTTCTGGTAATAGATCTTCTGGTAATAGACCTTTCTCTTCTCTCATGGTGGCTGTCATTGTCTGGTATTTCCAGTCAACCTTGTGAGCCCAGTGCCCCAGGTAGGGCAAACTTCCTTCGAGGCTTCGGACATATGACCCTGAGGGTGGCAGAAACCGCCATCTGCTTTTTCTTGTCATACGGCAGTGGGATTCCATCAAACACCTTGAAGTGATCCAGGGAAGCCTAGCCTTGCTTGGTGTTGTGGGGCAGCCTACTGCAGGTGGTCTGCCAAAAGATATGGCTGGGGACCCATAAATGGTAGGGTCCTTGGGAAAGGTTGGTGTTTGTCTGCTTGCAGAGGAAGGCTAAGTACTTTAACTTGTTTCTGTAGAAACTGCCAGAAATGGTGATGTCCTCTCAGCACATGACCACTACTTTCTCTGCTGGGTCATGACAGCCTCCAGGTAGCCCAGCAGTTGGACTCAGCTATCAAGCACCAGGACTGCCCCTCTGCCATCTTGGCAGCTGCGTAGGAAAGCTCTTTCTGTTACATCTCAAATACATTACATGCCGAATCTTTCAAACAACTAGCTAATAATAAATCTCTGATAAGATAAATTATACTTTTATACTTTGAAGATATAATTAAAATTTCCTGTTGTGAATTCTGAACCCACATGAGTGTCAATTTCATCTATTGACTCTCTTACCTCCTCGTGGTAATTCTGTGTGAAGATAAGCCAGTCCTCTAGTAACAGAATGAGCAAGACGGCAAGAGCTTACCCAGTCACTTGTGTGGAGACTTAAATACTTGCATAAAGATCCCTATAGAGAAGAAAAAATGCAAAAAAAAAAAAAAAAAAGGAGATTTTTAACATGAAGAGGTAAGTTCGCATCCTTATAAAGAATTTGCAAATAGGTTAGGATTCCATGAAGATCTAATGAACTACTACATTTCAGAATCTTGAAAGAGTTAGGATGACATTTGTGTGTGTAGAGAGGAGAGGAAGGGAATGTAGAGAGGAGAGGAAGGGAAGGTAAAGGGAATTTAAACATTATCAATTTTTATGGCTCCAATATTAAAAATTATGAATGATTATTTCCTTTGAAACAATTATTTGATCAAATTAAGATAGAAAAGTGTATCACTCACCAGTACGAATATAGATTATATTGTTATGGTTAATAAGTAGAAAATAAAAGGCTTTTGTAAATATATTCATGTATGTACTGGTGCTACTCAAAGTGCTTATCTACAAACTATTACCAGTTGCTGATGAGAAAAGAAGTTTGCATCAGAATGATGCAATACTGCTTCTTTCATGGAAAAACTTGTTGTCAAAAATTAAATAAAAAAGAGAAAAACAGAAAGAAAGAGGAGACAGCAAACAAACAGTATAATTAGTTGATTCACATTCTGGCGTGAGATCCTTATTTCACTGCAGACATGAATAATCCAGTTGTGAGTCAGCAATGCTCTATCTGTAATACAGTGGTCCTCTCTGAAGTCTGATTAACAACTAATATAAATGTCAGTTTATTTTTTTTTATTTTTTGAGATGGCGTCTTGCTCTGTCGCCCAGGCTGGAGTGCAGTGGTACAATGTCGGCTCACTGCAACCTCCGCCTCCCGGGTTCAAGCAATTCTCGTGCCTCAGCCTCCCAAGTAGCTGGAATTACAGATTTGCGCCATCACACCCCCGACTAACTTTTGTATTTTTAGTAGAGACGGAGTTTTGCCATTTTGGCGAGGGTGGTCCTGAACTCTGGGCCTCAAGTGATCCACTGCACGCGACTTTAGTTTATTTTTTATGAAGAACTTACATTGGGATAATACTCCATCACAAGCAAATATTCCATGCGCCCATCTGCAGTGACTCTCTCATCTCCAACTATAAAGCGGGCAATGTTGTCATGTTCCATCAAAGGCACTCTGTAAATGTTCTTTTCGTTGATAAAATTCTGGCGGTTTGCAAATGAAAACACTTTTACAGCAACTGGACGCTCATCCAAGGAGCCTTTATATACTGCTCCATATCGACCTCGGCCAATCAGCTGTGTTTTAAAGAAAGCAAGGTATTAATATCACAATTGAACAATCAAATTTACTAAATAATAAAGTACAATTTTTTTTTCTTTTTTTTTTCTTTGAGACGGAGTCTTGCTCTGTTGCCCAGGCTAGAGTACAGTGGCGCGATCTCGGCTCACTGCAAGCTCTGCCTCCCGGGTTCACGCCATTCTCCTGCCTCAGCCTCCTGAGTAACTGGGACTACAGGTGCCTGCCACCACGTCCGGCTAATTTTTTGTATTTTTAGTAGAGACGGGGTTTTGCCGTGTTAGCCAGGATGGTCTCGATCTCCTGACCTTGTGATCCACCTGCCTTGGCCTTCCAAAGTGCTGGGATTACAGGCATGAGCCACAGTGCCCAGTCAATAAAGTACAAATTTAAACGGAATGCCACAGCTCTCTGTTGCTTACAGTTTATTCCATTATCAAGAAATTAATAAATTCTGTTCTAGTATGGCTGATGAAGCTCCTATCACACCCAGCCTGCCCACAGAGAACATTTATAAATGCTGGACAAAATTAAAAAAAAAAAAAAAAAAGATCTAAAGGCAGATCTTGAGAGGCATTAAGGCTTTGAGAAAAAAGTGGCATGGGGCAAGTTACCCATTTTTATGGCTTTTAGCTTGAGGGCAGGCTGAAATCAGCACATGCAGTGGAACTAAAATTGCTGTAGAAAATCATTCTAGGCTGGGTGTGGTGCCTCACACCTGTAATCCCAGCACTTTGGGAGGCCAAGGCGGGCAAGATCACTTGAGGTCAGGAATTTGAGACCAGCCTGGCTAAAGTGGCGAAACCCTGTCTCTACTAAAAATACAAAAATTAGCCGGGTATCATGACACACACCTGTAATCCTAGCTACTCAGGAGGCTGAGGCAGGAGAAGCACTTGAACCC